GACGTTGTGAATGCCCGCACAGCCTTACAGACCTCGACCACTGAGGGAAGCATCTGTGGTTGTTGCTGTTGCTGCAGCTTGGACATCAACAGAGCGAGGGTCATCAAAGCACGGAACTGATCCCCCACATCTCCTTCCATGCGTTTGAGGAAACGGGGAGCATTTTCAAAGAGGTAGCACAGCAGCGCTTGCTCTGTGTCACAGGGTGCAAACGCGCCCGGGTGCAGAGCCGCCAGCGCCAAGGCACAGCTGAAGGCGTTGGTCATCACATGTGTGCAGCCACGTGTGTGCGTGGCGGCTAGCGTCTGCCGAAGTGTGTCCACCAACGCGCTCAGTTCCTGAGCCGAAACGGAGTCGCGGAAAACCGTCACTGCCTCCCCTGTAGCTTCACCAAACGCAAGGCGGTAGAAGGTCTGCGCAAGGCAAAGAAATGCGTTGCTGAGGGCCTTTTCGGCAGCTGGTGCACGCGTCGCCTCGTGCATGCAGACACGATACACCCGCCACCAAGTGACGGCATCGTCGCAGAATCGCCCCACGCCGCACAGAAACGCCAAGCAGGAGCGCCGCAGCTCAACCTCCACCGGCTGCTGCTCCATCAGCTGCAGGCAAAGCCGCACCACCACTGCGTGGTGGGGACGGCATGTGTCGCCCAGAAGCAGCTCACGCAGCAGCGCCCTGCCACGCACGGCCGCCTCGGTGTGGCAAAGCGCGTCACGCTCACTCAGAACGGCATCACAGCAGCCGTCCAGCATGTCGAAGAGAAGTGTCACTACGTCGCTGCCGTACACTGACAGCGGAGATGAGGCGGGTACACCATTGCAGCAGCTCTCCAGTAGCACGGCGGCTAACGCCACCAGCGACGACAGCGTCTGCGACACGAGGGTGCCATTGGTGCAGACAACGACATCCACCAGCGCATTCAGCAGCGAGACAAGCTCCACCGCGTCGCAGAAGCCGGCGCTGCACAGCGCGCCCGCAAGAAATCCGCTACCAAGCTGCTGCCCGTGCGCCACGAGCACCACCATGGCGCGCAGCACCGTAGCATCGTCAAGAAGAGGCGGCTGATCCAACGCCAACGGGAAAACGCGTGAGATGCTGCGGTACATCATGGTGCGCGCGCCCAACTGCAGCGACGGAAATACCGCCAGCAGCTGCTGGAAGGTGGATGAGATGCAAACACTATCCTTCACACTGCCGCTCCTGCGACACTCCTCCAGCGTAGCGAGCACGACGACGCTGATGGAATTGATGGCCTCCACCTGCACCTTCTTGTTGGCGTCGTTGACAACGACGTCCACAAGCAGCTGCAGAATGCACGGCGCAGTGATCGCCTCCGCTGTTGCGGCCAGCGGTCGTGCACCCGCCGCCATGCACCCACCGAGGATGCGCGCTACACAACGAACAGCTTGGTAGCGGAGGTAGTACGGCGACGAGCTTGCCGCAGAAAGGACCGCCCAGCAGCTCTGCGCCACGCTCCACACCAGGCTAGTGTCAAGGTCGTCAAATAATTCCTCTACCACTTCAGTGAAGAGGAACAAAGCGGCCTCTACCATCTGCGGCGATTCAGCACGTGCGTGGGGCGCAGGAGACAAGACAGACGCCAAGAGCGGCACGAAGTGGACGAGGAGATCCTCACGACAGGTGCAGCTCATGACGTCGAGCAGTGAAGTCAAGGCCTGCCGCAGCGTTGTGGCGGTCTCGCTGGCATCACCCACTTCACTGCTGCCATACTCATCGTCATCATCATCAACATTGTCGTTATCATCACCATCGTCACTGAGTGCAGATGCTACACGCTGGTTGTGGACGTGACCCCGCACTGCGGCCGAATCGTCCGGCACGTGTGCTGTGTGCTCCATGTTGGACTCGCCCAGCAGCGACGATGGCGGCAGTACACTACAGCGAAGAATGGTGGCTGAGACTTCCGCAGCCGACCCCGAGAGCACCTTAGACCCGCCTGCCGTATGCTGCGCCAGCGTGGTGATGAAGTCGAGAGAGAGAGTAATGTGCTGCTCGTCACCTGCGTCCATGCAGCGGAGGACGCACGGTAGCGCAGCAGCAGCGGCACGCTCTGTGGCAGCACCCCCGAACGCATCCCACTGCAGCACCGCATTCATGTAGCGCATCACGGCTGATAGGAGAACGCAGGAATCGACCGAGCGGTTATCCAACCGAACGATAAGCGCACAACACGCCTCGTGTACCGACGCGACGTGGCTGCGAAAGTCGTGATGGGGAGGACACACGTCCAGTTCGCCCGCGGCTACTGCATCAACCTCTGAGACCTCGTCGGTGCTGCACTCGTCCGGCGAGAGAACCTCCTCTGTGAAGCTGCATGCCACACCCTCAAGCACTGACGCGACAGCCGACGTGGCGGGGGATGTGCTCTGCAGGAGGAGTGTGGAGGCGTGCACCAGGTGGGTAAGGACCCCACTCAA